CGTGTAATTTCGTGAGTTCTGCTGGGCCTGGGGTTTAAAATGGATCATTCGTTACACAGTGGAAGTGTGAGGGTGAGGTTGAGGGACACGTGAAATACGATGCGTACCGACACCCCGAAACGACGCTACCGACTGGTAGAGGATTGGAGGCGACTTGTGCCAGGAAAGCGGAAGGGGAAGCGTCCTGCGGGTCCCTCTTTCCTCTGCGGCCCTCAGGTTGCGTCCTGCGGGTCCCTCTTTCCTCTGCGGTCCTCAGGTTCAGGCTGCTCTGGGAGCGTCATGGGCAGTATCGTCTGCAGTCTAAATCAGCAAGACCAGCTGCCCTGTGGTAAGCAAGGCACATAACCCATTTTCTGTTGCTTAGAATTTTTCAAGAGATTGGTTTCTGCGGCGCAAAGGTCAGAAATTCTATTGTAGTCTCGTCGCCGTGCTCCAAGGGCACTCACGTGGAGAAGTTTTTGCCGTGCCAGCAATCCCGAGTCCTGGGCCAAAGGTCAATGAGCAGAGAGAACTTTTAATTACTATTTGGACACCACAGAAACACTTCATTTTACTTGGGGGCTGGAATTGTGGCATTAAGTGACGAGGCGAGGATATGGCTGACAGCGTATCCCAAGAACAAAAAATGTGCCTCTTTCATAATAGTTGAATCATATTGAAATCTGAAAGGGCTCCGTAGGACAAAATATATCGTTTTAGTTTATACAAACACATACAATTTACATACACAACATTTTGCTTTAAAAACAAACTGTGGAACTCAAACACGGAGAAAGGATGTAGGTCAAAGACTACAGGGTCCTATATAAATTACACTTGGGATCAAGGGTTAACCACTGTGACCCTGGGGCCAAGTCCAGCCTTCCATGCTTTTGGAACCCAGCCAAGCCCCTTCCTTTACATACTGTCTCTATCTGCTCTCATGTTTCAATGGCAGGAACTGACTAGAGAGAGAGAGGCTGCATGGCTCACAAAGCCCAAAATATTTATTATCTGGACCTGTACAGAAAAGCTCGCTGAGCCACTACAGAGCAAAAAGTGCATCTCCATCCTGATCTCAATGAGCCGAAGCAACAGAGATCTTCATCACCCATGTTCTTGAACCAGAGTAAGCGCATTAGAATATCTCCAGATCATATTTGATTACTCAAATATTCTGCTTAGAAGTTGTGCAGCCAAAACCAGTTAACAATCATGTTTGGTAATTAATGAACACAGGCAGTATTAAAAATCTCTCTGGGTCTGACTATTTATGTATATATCTATGTAAAGGGTGGTGACGTTTGAGCCGGCCCATCTGAGGGTAAGGAAACCTAAAGAAAAATAAGAAGTCAAAATACAATTATTAGGAACTGTTATTTGGAACTTAGAAATATTTTAGTATATTTTTCTTTATATTTAACAGCATGGAACCATTAGTAGGACTCATAGCAGAGCAAAAACAATTTATAACTGCGAGTTTTACCCATGAATTATGCGACAAAATTTCTTGAATATAAAATAACCAACATTCCTATAAAACATTAATATTTCATTACATAAAGTGATGTAGCAAAATAAGAATGTTATCTCTAAATATTTTAGTCAAAGCTGCATCAGAAAGCAAGTGTTTCTTTGACATTTTCCAAGAGACTTTAGTTACTAACTACAAGTATAGCTGTATTATATAGTAACATATTTAAGATATATTATAAACACTTTCTTTTACTCTTTAATTTAAAAGAAATGTAAAATTAAGGATTCTGTCAAATGGTTCATACTGGAAAACATTTAAAATGGTATGAAGTCCTCTCACACAGAAAATGCCACTGGAACCACAAAATGTCCTAATGCTCACTTGTGCCTAGTACGGTACCTGGAACACAGCAGCAGCACAGGCTGGTTCACTTTCTCTCATTCACTCATTCATGCCAAGACATCCAGGCTTAAGGAGCAGCTGTGTGATGAGAATGGCAAGCACGACATTTTGTCAGCATCCTTGTAGTTTTGACGTAGGCTTTGGCAAGGGAGAGTAGAGATGAGATGATCGAAATTTCAAAGTGCTTGGTGGAATCGACCAAGGGGAGCCCTGGGCTGCCTTAGATGACGTCGCAGAAAATCAGGGTCACGATCCCACAAAAGGAATACCACATCCCTTCCATACCCAGGTTTTACTTTCACGTAGAAACATCTGCTCGAAGACAGGAATGAGTTGGTGACAGAGAAACACCAAATAGCATGTATCCACCACGAAGGAAGGACCCTCTGCCTGGGGCCTTATTTTTCTACACTGAGACTTCTTTTTGGTTAAGGCCACATTCTCTTGGCTTTAACAACTTTATACTGGTTTGAAAAAAAGGTGTGGACCTAAAATTATAAAAGAGAAATTAATGTAGAAGGTATAGGAGTGTCGTTCAACATGTTTTTTTTCTTTTACGTACCAACTGATCTACTTTATACATTTATGCCAAAGGCACAAAGTCAGATGTCAGCTCTTGGAGGAGATACCTAGAAAGGGGCATTTTTAGGCTCTTTGCAGAAGGTTTTAAATATGTGATGAGTTATACAACCTGAGTAGTAAGGTCTACAAGCACATAAGACAGTATGCTCTTGGAAACTAAGCAGAACATGGCATAAGGCTTGATCTTGGACGAAACCATTTAAAAACTCTGTAACAAAAAATAAAACATGACACCGGCAAGTCATTTGTAGTCGACTTTAATTTAATTGCCTTTGGTATTCAGAAGAAAAAAATAGAAGCATTATTATAAGCTCTCATCCTCGAATCAACACGAGGAAGGGAAGTGGGTGGTGAAGGCCCTTCCACTGTCTCCTGGATTCTTTGCTTGAACCGGAACTGGCCATGCTGAACACTTCTCTGCTTTCTCTTAGGTTCCGGTTATCTGAGAAACACAACAGAGCACTTAGGAGTGGGGGTCCTGTCTCCTGGTTCCTTGAGAAGCTCCTGGGGGCCAAGAAGGCCCCTCTACTCCGCATTCTTCTACAAAGTGAGGGAGGGTTGGTTCACTGCCATCCACGCGACTGCTCTGGGTCTTTGCCAATTCAAGTTTTTCACTTTTTTTGAGAATCGAATACTTTCCCTTTCTCTCCTGAAGTTAGTCATCTACCCTTTTCATTTAAAACTTTCAATTTTTCAAGTAGTAAAAGATATTATCATTTCAAAATATGTGCTAAAATTTAACTCTCTTAAAGACTTAAATAATGCAACTGGCTCCATATCCTTGTTTTCTATACTGAAAAATCTTGGGGGTGGTTATCATTATTGATCATTTGCTGAACTGTGAGGACTGTCTGACTAATTGTGGCATAAGATGATCACTCTTAGAAAATATTTCATTATATTAATTTACTCAGTCTTTTCCCAATTTAAGTCTACTACATGCTCATAAAAGTTTAAGAAGAAAAGCTATCAAAATAAGAAAATAAGCCTTCAGAATTCCAATTTGGGCTTCTTGCACAAACATTATTTCATAAAATCTTCAAATCCAGAGTAAATATTAGACTAATTATGCTACTCCCAACTTTTATTGTCAATGGAAGCTGTTTGTATTAAATATAAAGATACAGTATCTTGCACTGTGACATAAATTCAAGGAACAGAAAAATTTTAAGTGTTAGATATTTATCTTACAATATAGTTCTTGATAAAAATTAAAGTTTCCCCCCAATATTAAAGAAATAGTATTGCATTAAAAAGAAATATCATTGCAAAATTTATTGATAAGAGAAAGTCCCTTAGCTATATCCCAAATTTAGTGTAATATGATTAATTACACCATGCTTTTATCACTAAAAATTATTTTGAAGCTATTTTGATTAACTCTTTGGATTTCTATAAATATCCTTGGAGAAAATAAAAGTCGAATTTATCTTTTACATAAAACATTTGTGAAAAGCTCATTCATCTGACGAGATAATAAATAAAGGATGACATGTCCCCATTTCAGATAGACTATTTAAGGAAGTTTCGTTGTATTTTATTTTTGCTTTATAAGTTGTAAAAATAATTTGACTCATCAAGGTAAATTCAGAGCTGCATAATAATAGTACAGTGAATTGGGCCAAGCCACGTCAATAAAGTTGTAAGTGGAGGGATTCTACTAAGTTTATGATGAGGTTAAAATGGATAAAATTTACTTGGTAAATTTGCTGGTTTGGAAAACTAATCTCCAACCAGCGAGACCAAGCTTTCTCTCTTAGAACAGGTTTCAAGGCAACAAACTGTGGCATTTCCCCCACTTTTTGTCATGCTACCAACACTAGACTGAACAACATGCACGAAATCCCAAACCCAGGCTCGTGAGTAGCGATTATGACAAACAGCAGTTTGTGATTCCATATGGAGACAAAGACTTGAAGAATATTTTTTGTGAGATCACGCCCCCAGAGAAAACTAAATTTAAACGAGAAATTTCAGTGGAATAGATTGGGATTTGAAATGGTTGCCAGTCTAGTCATCCAATGGGGAACTCGAAAATTCAGACTTCTGTTTCTTTTTCAAGTCTTCTTGCTGCTGAGGCAATTATGCTGTTCTTTTTGTTCTTGTTTATTTTAGTTCATTCCATTATTAAAAATGGAGAAAAAAGGGATAAACGATATGTAAAGATTCGATTTGCAAGCTCCTCCATTTTGGGAGGAAACAAACATAAATCGGCTCCAGTGGCCACCTTTTCCTCCTGCGAGGGGCTCCACACCTGGGCTTAGTCTTAGGAAGTCCAGCGTCCAGGATTCTAAAAACAAACCGCGGTAACAGGAGTAGGTTCTCATGTGGCCATCTCCTTGGGGACCCAAGCACGTCAGGATCTGTCCTACACGTACCAGAATCTGTTTTGGTCAGGTATAAAATGGAATTATTTCAAAGTTGAGATATGTACAAGTTGAAAAGTCTTGTGGGGAATGAGTCACGTCTCGCCCTGCCATGTTGACTCTAAGAGGTCCCGGTTTTCAAGTGCCCTCTCCAGACTAACTTCTGCAGTGGTCCATGTAAACAAAACACAGGTGAGCATGGTCTTTCCGGAGCTGCTTTCATCGAACAGCAGGATTTCCTGAAAGTGTGGTGTTGGCTAAATGCAACACAGGCAGAGGATGAGCCTCCGTGTTAAACACCCAGTGGTCCAAAGGTAAAAGGTCGTCGCCGGAGAACAGCAGGTACAAATATCTGAAAATAAGAGGAGACACGGGCTTCAGTTAGAGTGCAACGAGGAGGTCACGTGATCTCCGCTACACCGGCACAGGACGCCAGGAACCTACGCTGAGCAGCTCTGATGAAAAACACATCCGAGGAAGAACCTCGGCCACGCGGACGATCTAAAGCACAGGGCAACGTGCTCCAGAGCAGCCCTGAGAGCATCCTGGAAGCTCGGCCCACAGGAGGCCTCCGAAGGAGGATCGTTAAACAACAAACTCCACGTCCCTATCCGGAGCACACAAAACAACAACGCTTCAATATTTTTCAGACTCTCTTTTAAAAATAACAAATAATACCAATCACATGTTTTGGCAGCTGAACCAATATATGTAGAAATTAACTCACATTAGTAAGTAAACACTGAAGGAAATACTTGGACAGAACCAGGACTTCTACATACTCCTAACAGTAGTTTTTGCAAGGACTGCAAACTGTCAAAGTTTTCAGAAACATGGGTTTATCGGAGTTTTAGTAATTGCTAACCTCTCTTCGTGGTAGTAGCTTTGTTTACATGAACGCAAAGGGTTCTTGACCTCTCCACAAGCACTGCGAGCTAGTGGTTACTCAGAAATTAGAAATGACACATTTAACACACACGGTGACTCTTATCTATAATGCTGGGCAAATTCCAACTGGAATTTTATTGGGGGTCATGACAGTGAGCACAAAAAACGATACCGAGTCAGGAAATCTGGGTTCTAACTCTGATCTTAGCAGCAACTTGCTGGGCCTTGCTAAGCTTCAGTGAAGGATTCCTTTACAGTATTTTAATTAATATTTATTTATTTGAAAAATAGGCACATTAATATCTTTTCTGATTACTGTTTTAGTTCTGGATGATAGAGTGAAAACACAGCACTCAGGTAAATGGGGACTGCACATGAACTTTATAACTGGTAAAGCTGGAATGGAGAGTAAGAGGGAGTCCAATTCCACTCCTTGACCTTGAGATGTACTTGACTCTGATTTATTCACCGGGTTGGAGGCAGAAACGTTAGAATGGAAAAGACAGACTTGGTTGGACGTAGCAAGCGACTCTGCTGGGTCTGCTTACTGTATGGCGACCAGAAGCGGAAGCTCTTGGTGTTCCGGGCACGAACGTGCCCAGGAGAGCTATGCTCTGTGCAATTCTACGTCTCTTCATGTCCCTGGGTGAGATGAGGGCCAAAGGGTCTGGCTCACTCTAATGTCATCACTTCTTGGGAGAGAAAAACGCAAAAGTTTCCTGAAAAATGATTCCTTTTCATGGGAGATGCTATGGAAGTACCCTATATAAACCTAAATGTTATAAAATTATAAAAAGCGGTAAGATAACTAATGTGAAAGTCTTAGATAACAAAAACTATTATATTAAAACCATCGTTTTAAAAACAGGATCTTAATTAAATACTAGTTTAGTGGGTTGAATAGTGCCCCACCCCAATTCCACCTGGAGCCCCAGAATGTGATCTTATGTGGGTAAGGGTTTTGCAGCTAGAATCGGTCAAGGATCTCAAAATGAAACCACCCTGGACTTAGGGTGGGCCTGGAGCCCAACGACCTGTATCTTCACCAGAGAAAGGAGGGGAGGTTTGGCCCCAGAGACACGAGGGAAGGTCATGCAAAGACAGAGGTCATCTGCCTGAGCCAAGGAACGCCTTCGGAGGGAATGATGGCGGATCTCTGGCTCCGGAGCTGTGAGAGAGTGAGCTTCCGGTAAGCCCCCAGCCTGCGGTCACGTTACGGCAGCCCCAGGAGGCTCGTGCGAGCCTCATCCTACCCTCTGGGGCGGTCCTGGGGCTGAAGCACTGCCGCTTGGTCCCGGGGCTTTGGAACAAGACTGACCACTTCCAGGAAAATCAAATGCTGCCCGGAGACCAGGGGCTGACACTAGACTTATAAAAGTTTATAACAAAATCAACGTTTGAAATTAAAGTAATACAGCTAAACGACTCTTTTTAACTTTGGATTACACATTCAGAGAAGGATGTCAAGGATATGGCATTTTATTACTTTTGAAAGTTATTTAAATTTAATATTTAAAGTATATTATTGCTTTAGTATACAGTAATAGTATAAAATAAAGTATACTATTACTTTATTGAAATTTAAGATTTTTTTAACCGGATTTTAAAAATGGGACAATTGGAGAAGAATGATCTTTGCTGTGAAAGTTGAGAAAAGTCTACAATCTAAATTCACTAGCAAACTACCAGACGTTTTTTCTTCTAATAAAGATTTTTTAAACTATAGTTCGTGGTTAGAGATAATAGATGACGAATATTATTGACAAAAGCCTATAGGTATATAAAAAGATGCTTAAGTACTTCAGTTTTACTGGACGTCTTGCTTACTTTCTAGCTATTTTTTAAATGCTACTCACATATCTTTTATCTTTCTTTTATGTAAAGATAAGATGCTCAGAGGAGGTGGTGGCACCAGAAGTCATCAACACAAATGTTAATGCTCACTGAAATGGGAAATTTTTCAGAAAGAAAAGCCAACCGACTCTGAAGAGAAACATTTAAATGTCTATAGAGAAACAGTAAGGCTAAAAGAACCAACCACCAAGTTCATGTGCTCTTAGTCCTTTATGTTGATAAATGAGCCTTGATGCCCCTGAATTCTTAAATTCAGTAGGGGTCAGCATACTCACATTGCTGTGAAACAGATCTTCAGAACTTTTTCATCTTGTAAAACTGAAACTATGCCCTTTAAACAACAGCTCCCCTTTACCCCTCCATCGGCCCCTGGTAACTACCCTTTACTTTGTTTCTATGAATTTCATTATCGATATTGCATATAAGTGGCCTCATACAGCATTTGTCTTTTAGTGACTGGCTTATTTCACTCAACATAATATCCTCGACGTTCATCCATGTTGTTGCTTCCCTGATTTTGATTCTAGACTCCTAACTCCCATTACTTGTAGTGAATATTTTTTAGTCGGTCTAATTTTTTTCCTGTTTTTTAAAGAAAGGTAGCACTGATTTTTCTCAAGTTGGATCCTTCTTTGTTTGACATGACTTTCTGCTTTACCACACCTGTTAGCATCTTATATACCATTCAGCATCACTTCAATCTTTCTTTATGACTGCTCCAGCCCACATCAAAGTTCCCTGCTCTGAATTCGTAAAACATTTCTAATCTATTTAGCACTTGACTGTGTACTTTTTACTTTTGCTCACACTGTCCACAGCCAGGAGTGGGAGATTTCTTAACTAGACTGCAAGATCCCCATGGGTAGAGTTTATGTTTCATACATTTGAATTTTTAAACGGCACAATTCTGAGAAGAGAACAGTCATTTAACCAATGCTTGCTGAGCTGACTTAGTCTGCCCATCAGCCTTCAGGAGTAAATGAGCAGAGAACGATGGAGAACAGGACACTGGATACTGCTTTTCTCATCCAGCTGGAAAAACAGCGCTTCTCTCATGGAAGGAGGTGAACTTTAGGGTCCAGTTACAAACCAGACAAAAGGAAAATGGAAGGGAATAGTGGCTTTGTTTTTCAGTCTTCCCTCGAACGATGTTTTCCTTGCCTAAGAATCTCCACCCCAACGATCTCATTGATTCCTCCCTCTCCCCCAGATATTACTTAGACACTTTTGCTCACATACTCTAAAAGCTATACTACTCTTGATGCTTTCATGACAAAACTATTACCAGAACTGCCCATGAACCTACTTTACCCTGAAGCTGGCTAACTGTGCGTTTATTCGCTTGTACTGAATAACAGTAGCTGTAAAAAAGGACAACTAGATCTAACAGAGGGTAGGGTAATAACATCAGCAACGATGTGCGTCCTGGATAACCATTTACTAGTTTCCCCCTTTCTCCCCACCCCAACATTTTACTATAAAATGTTCAAGCCCACAGACATTCTGAAAGAATTTCACAGTGAAATCCACATATATTTACCTCCTGGGTGCTACAATGAACATTTTGGTACATTTCTTTATCACAAGTCTATTACTCTATTCTTGTAATACTAGCTTTCTTTAAAATACTAAAATATTCCCCTCAGAAAAAGCAGCTGTAAACCTAGCTAAATATCAAGAAAAACCTGCTCAAGAAAACTATTTGCAAAGAGAAAACTGGAAGTCTCGCTGGAATTTTTTTAAACACCAGGCCAAGCTTAGAACAATAAACTTCAGGTAACGATATTAACTTGAGTTTTGAGAGGGAGACTGTTGCTGCAAATTTTAGTCCCTATATTTCTATCTTCGCCAACTCTCCTTTAAGAAGAACCATGATTAAAAACATTTAGAATTTTGTTTAACAATAGAAAATTATTTGATAATAATTATTTATCTGATAAAAGCAAGTTAGATAACATTAGTTACTGTTAAGGGAAGAATCTGAAAATTTCTATAAAGAAATAATTAACAGCAAGATATTTACGTGTAGCCAAATGGTAAACAAACATAATCCTTCTTGTCCCTGATCCTTTTCAAAGGCATATGACTAATAAACAAAATGTGGTATGGCCATACCACAGAATACTACTTACTGACTGAAAAGAATGAACTACTGATATATGCAACGACACTGATTAATCTACAAACATTATGCTGAAAAAAATGCCAGATAAAAAATAAGTCTAAACTGCATGGTTCCGAGTCTATGAAATCCTAGAACAGGCAGCCTGCAGTGACAGAACGCAGCTCCGCGTCTGTGCGGAACTCCCTGCCAGACCAGCGTGGAGATGCTCCATGTTAACTAGCGTGGCGGTTACCCAGGCTCGCACATTTGCCAGAACACAATCAACTGTACATTTAAAATACTTCAGTAAGGCTGACTTTTAAAGTTCAAAAATAAAGATTAATGGAAAAGGATGGGGAACAAATAACCTTATTATTTGTTATTGCGACATTAGAGCAAGTTGGGTTGTGGCTCCCTCTACTGTAGCAAAAAAAAAATTGGCAAGGATATTTCAAAGTACAGTTTTGAAACTGAAAAAAAAATGCTTACATTAAATAGTACTAAGTGAAATTCGCTGTGTGTGTGGCGTGTTCGGGGTTTGGACTGCACCGTGACACTGTGATACGTCCTACGGGGGATTAAACGATGTGGAGACAGACCACAGCCCCGGTCCCTCGGTAAACCCTGCGGAGACCGCACCACACAGAATGGCAGTGTCCCGACCTCCTGGGGTCCTAGCTATTCCTGGTACTGCCTGCTCTTTGTCATATACTATAGGTAATTCCTTGATCTCTGATCGCTTCCGTTAAGGGTTTGCTGGGTCACAGGCATCAGTGGTTCTCAAGGTGTGATCCTCCAGACCATCAGACCACCTGACAACTCGTTACAAATGCAAATTCTCAGACCCCACTTCAGACCTCCTACTCCGAAACTCTGCTGACGGAGTCCAGCAGTCTGTGTTTTAAGAAGCTAGTGTGCACTATATCCGCTTTTCCCCTTCATGCGGGAAACAGACCCACTGCCCTGACTCCTCCCCTTTTCACATCTTGCCTTGGCCCCTTCTTGCTTTACAAATTCCTCGATCCATTCATGATTAGCTATCTCCCAGCACGAACAGAATTGTCAGTTCAAGCCCTGAGCCCCAAACCAGGAAACAAAATAGGTCTATTATTCTCTTCACCTTACCACTCCCATTTTTGCCAGATCTTATAAAATCGCTGTTTCTCAGCTGTCTGTCTTGGAATGAAATGATTCAATCCTTTATTCAACAAATATTTAATATTGAAACATAAATATGTGGCCTCACCATAGATGCTAGGGAAATGAAAACTATTAAAATACGCGACCACCACTTTCCTCGTGGCGTTTATGTTCTAGCTGGGGAATGCCTGAGGAAATCATACGGTAAGTTAGAAGTCAGGTGCTGTGCAGAAAAGCAAAGTCAGGGAAAATAAGACGGAACAAGGGAGCAATTCGAAATTTCATACAGGAGGATCTGCTGCTTAAAGCAAAAACGAAGCACCCCGCTCGGTGTCATTTTCACTTTTTTGAGTAGCTAAAACGCATGGATTGTTACCCTTTAATGAAGTCATAATGAATTCCAACTACTTGATAGAATATGCAATCTTAAGTTAACACTTATTCAGCTTCTGCCGAAAGCCTATTTGAATTAATCGATATACGAGAAAAATCTATGGAGTCATACTACTCTTCATTCCTCTGCAGAGTTTTAAGCTTCGCCTTAATAAGAAAAACATAAACCTACAACCACATTAGTCTTCAAGGAATGTCTTGATTCAATTGTATTATGCTATCAATTTTTATAAAGAGTAAGTAACATTAAGGGTGTTTTTGTATCTTCTACAAGATCAATGTTTGACAGTATTTATCATCATTTATTAGGTTGAGCCATATGAAATTGCCAGCACCCAACTGTTTTTGACTTTTCAAAAAAAGCCATTCCATGCAGTTCACGTAATAGTTCAGTATTTTTTTTTAAATGAACTATCGAATCAAGTCATCTTACAATTTAGCAATCGGGAAAAATTTTGTTTCATCCGTTAAAGTAATGTGTTCTCCCAACTCAAAAAGATAAAAACGGCTGCTTTAAGCTGCCATGAAGCTCAGTGCTGAACGTGGTTCTCAACTGTGATAATTTTCTTACCCTAGGTTTTGTTTTAATTATCTGTATAATTCCACTGCTTTGACCTTTTCTGCTTTTATTGATCCACATGTATATGAGTTTTTCTGAAAGTGAGTATCACAGCAATTATGTATGTATAAACGTAACTGGTTACCTAGAGTACCGTGTTGAGAAAGATTCTTCCTAAGCTTGGGAAAAGTACCAAGGTCAACTGCTGATATTCCACACATATACTGGAAGGGAAAAGGCAGCAACGCCACACATTTGTAGCCCTATCCCACGCGCTAAAGTGCCCAAGGTCTGTACTGATGAGGCATTCAAGAATGAGTTATGAAAGTCAATCGCAAGAGGCGAGATCTGAACTGAACTGA